CATTAAACGAATTCAATTGATAGCTCGACCATTACTCATGAGGTCGAAGCTTCCAGTAGCCGCTTGGGGACACACTGTTTTACATGCATCAGAACTTATACGCATAAGGCCATCTAGTGAACATAGATATTCACCATCCCAATTACTCATGGGTCATGAGCCAGACATATCCCATCTAAAGACTTTCGGGTGTGCCGTATATGTACCGAATGCTCCACCACATAGAACAAAGATGGGACCTAAAAGGAGGATGGGAATATATGTTGGATTTGATTCTCCCACCATTATTAAGTATCTAGAGCCAACTACGGGTGATCTACTTAAGGCTAGATACGCGGATTGTCATTTTAATGAATCCGAATTTCCTACTATAGGTGGAGAGACGAACAAGCTGGTCAAAGAAATATCATGGAATCAAACATCCTTAAATTGGCAAGATCCTCGGACTCTGGCATGAGAATCAGAGGTCCATAAGATAATAAATTTGCAAAAGCTAGCTAATGAATTGCCAGATTCTTTTGATGACCCAAAGAGAGTTATATAAGCGTACATACCAGCTTGTAATGCACCAGTACGTATTGATGTTCACAAGGAACACAATCAAATTGCTACAGAGTCTAACACACGTAATAAACGTGGTAGACCAATAGGTTCCAAAGATAAAATCCTCGGAAATTAAAGAAAGGTGCAATAGGAACCGAGGTTATTAAGGAAACCATCCTAGACATAGAGATAAGGCCGGCCGGCTCTAAGGTACAGGTACCATATAATGTAGCTTGGGACGCCAAGCTGCAAAGTATTAAAGGTCCTGACTATAATAAATCTCAATCGATGATATCATGTCTGGAACATAATGGAACATATAAGAAATGTCGACATAAGATAATTTTGCGCACAAGGTAGCAACTGAAATAAATGAGGATCAGGAGCCCACGTCTATACTAGAGTGCACTCAAAGACTTGATTGATTAAAATGGTACAAGACCATAAAACGTGGAGCTAAGAATCATTAAAATGGTACAAGACCATAACCAGTAGGACACAAGTGGGTCTTTGTGAAGAAAAGAAATGAGAATAATAAAGCGTGAGATATAAGGCACGGCTTATAGCACAAGGATTCTCACAAAGACCGGGGATAGATTATGAAGAAACATACTCCCCTGTGGTGGATGCTAAGACATTTAAAATTTTGCTAAGTCTGGCTATATATATAAAAGAGAAAGACTTGATTTGCGGCTAATGGATGTAATGCCCGCATATTTATATAAGTCCACTGGATAATATATATGAGATTACCAGAGGGTATTGAGCTCAAAGATAAAGATAAGAAAGGGTCTCGGGACCAATACTGCATAAGGCTGAACAAATCGCTTTATGGACTGAAACAAAGTGGGCGCATGTGGTACAATAGATTAAGCGATTACCTAGTCAGAGAAGGTTATAAGAATGATCCCATCAGTCCATGTATCTTCATAAAGAAATTCACAAACAAAGGATTTGTGATAATAGCAGTATATGTGGATGACTTGAACATCCTTGGAACCTCTGGGGAAATCGCCCAAACAGTCGAATATCTAAAGAAAGAATTCGAGATGAAAGACCTAGGCAAGACAAAATTCTGTTTGGGATTGCAACTTGAGTACGTGAATAATGGAATCCTTGTGCATCAAAAGGCATATACTGAAAAAGTACTCAAGAGATTCAATATGGACCAGGCCCACCCATTGAGCAGCCCAATGGTGGTGAGAAGCCTCGGATTGGATAGTGATCCATTCGGTCCAAAGAAGGACGAGGAAGAAGTTCTCGGTCCTGAAGTGCCATACCTTCAGTGCCATAGGAGCGTTAATGTACTTGGCTAGCCACACTAGACCAGATATATGTTTTGCCGTGAACCTCCTTTGTCTAAATTTAGTTCATGATCAACCCAAAGGCACTAGAAAGGTTTGAAGGAAGGTTTGGTTAAATTTTAAATTCTATTCTTCCTATGTTTGTTTATTTGGGTTTTATTCTATACTGATCTAACCAAAGAAGGTCTAGTTTGCTTTGGTTTAGTTTGTTTTGCTAATGCAGGTAAGATCAGATTATGGCATGGTCAATAAATAGGAACTACGTGTGGCTTGATCCCTTCCAAGGGTACGTAGGCAGTCTTCTTCAAGGCGCAGCTACTACAACATCAAAGACCATCATATTTGAAGACAACGCAGCCTGTAATTGCTCAACTCAAAGACAGCTACATCAAGGGAGATCGGACGAAGCACATTCTACCAAAGTTCTTCTTCACGCATGACTTGCAAAGGGATGGAGAAGTTCGAGTGGTACAAGTTCGGTCCAGCGACAACTCAGCCGATCTCTTCACCAAGGCATTACCAACAACGACATTGAGGAAGCTCACGCATCAAATTGGAATGCGGAGACTTAAGGACTTTCAGGGATGACCAAATCAGGGGGAGTAATACGTGCTGTACTCTTTTTCCTTCACCATGGTTTTGTCCCAATGGGT